TATATAAGTACTATTGTGGCATGCAGTGGTTTTCAGACATTAGCAGTTATCAATAATATTCGCTATAACGAGAGGTAATTTTTTAGCTTTAATAAATATATAAAATTGATCGGGGGACGCTACCTAACTTCGTTATTTTAAATGGAACGCCCATTTTTGGCTTCTTTGTATAACAGTTATTCAACTGTTTTTAAAACAAAACACGATTTCAACTGTTTGAATGCGACCAAATAGCATCTAAACCATAAAACCTACAAACCTGCGGTCTGGAGAGTTTCGTTTGAGTACGACTTTCCGTGTCTTTTTTGCTAAGGACGAAACGTGTCAGAACCGGAAATATAGACATTTACTTTTGACAATTTTAAAAGACAAATAACTTTTTTTTTAAAGGAATACCCATATTAAATGGTACCGTTCGATACAAAATTAAAAGCCCTGTCGAACTGTCCAAACCGCAGGTTTTTAGTTTTTATGGTTTAGATGCTATTTGATCTCATTCAAATAGCTGAAATCGTGTTTTGTTTCAAAGACAGTTGAATATCTCAAAAAATACGTATAGAGAACTGTTAATAAAGTCGACCTAAAATTATACAAAGAAACCAAAAATTAAAAATATATTGGGTGTTCCATTCCGAACCATTTTTTTTTTTACTGAATGGGTTTTAACAGAGTTACGGACAAAAACGCCTTAGGTGGTATATACAGAGGGATGATGATGCTTTGAAATTTTGACATATACCTATCTATTAATTAAACGTAGATACTAACAATTTTTCAATTTTTGTTTGTTTTTGCTTACCAAAAAGAAACATTATCGTTGAAACTTGGTTGCCGTACGATTGGCGAAAATCACCCTGGTACGAGGTCACCTTTTTTGTACAATTTTATGCGCTGTATATGGTGGGTTTTGCTCACGTTGCAATCGATTGTTTCTACGTTACAGTTGTCAAATTGACAGCCACGCAGCTTCAACTTTTATGTATGGGAAAATTAAATATTTCTTTTTTTGTAAAAAAATATTTTTTTGTTTAATTAATTTGCAGGTTGCGAAGTGAAAGAAGCCTTCTTCAGTACAATGGTTGAAGTGGGCTTTCCGAAATCTTTCGCGAAGGAAGCCATGGACGTATACTATCAATTAAACAATTGCAAAGACGGTACCATGACGTAAGTAAAATGTTTAAGAAACAGTTGAGCACGAGCGCAAAATAAGTCGAACAAATGAATTTTTGTAGCATGAAACGCAATAAACAAAAGTACGAAGAAATGATAACCAATTTGATACATTCCGAAAAGTTCAATTGCTGCTTAAGAAAAAATATGACCACGCACATAAAAAGGCATCAAGAAATATTAGAATACGTGAATGAAATTAACGAGTTAATGGGACCAATACTGTTAATACAATTGATTTATAATTTGTTTTATCTGATTTGGTTTGCATTTGCCTGTTTAATTGTAAGATTTTTGAAATTTATTTACAGAGAGCAGCTACCCATATCTTGGGTACTTTTTGCATTTTTTTCTTATAGATTAGAAGTGAATACGGGGTTGTAATAGTGCAATTCATTGGGAACGCCATATTTCAACTGTTTCTTTTCACTTATTCGGCTCAACAAATTAACGACGAGGTATTTACATATATATTAAGGTTTCGTCAAAAATTTTGATTTTTATTTTGTTTAGGGTACGAAATTTCAAGGGGTAGTATACAATTCACCGTGGTATATTTGCAACCCCCGTACCAGGAAATACATTTTCACCATCCTGATGAGATGTAATCGACCGATTGCAATTCAAGCAGGACGATATCTTACAGTTACCATGGAAACATTCTCTAAAGTACCTAATCTACTACCTAAAAACTAATCAATTTCATTTGTTCATTAACATCGACACCCTGTATATTTTCATATTTTTCAGGTGATAAACACCGCCCTCTCGGCCACAACTGTTTTATACCAGTTTGCAGGGCATCATAAATAATTACGAATAATAATAACAATGTTAAAACAATTCATTTACCTAAAATGTTTAAGTAGAAATAAATGAGTAAATATTTTAGATGTTAATTAGTTTTACTTCCCATGAATTGATTAATTCTCTTTGATTCCTAATTACCTGCAAACGTTTTCGTTAATTACAAGCGTGGATGGTTCTGAAATTCTGTAAAACCCTTAATTATTAATCCTGATCTTATATATCAACATGTATCTCGAAAAGTTTTCTACTTGTCTTCTAAATTCGGTTTCGAAATTGCGTGTGTCCTGCCCCAAAATGGTTCTCAATAGATTATACTACGCCACGGAGTTCTCATTACGATTGGTCGCAATTCGTTTACGAAAAGAAGAACATCAGACGATAAAAGACAAAATTTTTCGTTTGTTTTCAACGCTATTGCATCTTGTATGCATCATACCGGGTCTGGTCTATTTGGTTATGGAAAAGCAAAGTTTCACTTCGATTACGGAAGACCTTACAAACATTGGACTACACATAGCTTCGCTCGTCAACTTTTACTATTACTATTTCAATTCGAAAATGGTTCAAAATTTGTATTCGCGAATGCAGTCCGTAATACGATTGGACAGCAATTGTCAAGTGATAAGGAGAAACGTGAATGTTAGCAAAGATGTCAATTTCATAATTTTTTTCATTTGGGCCTTTTTGATTGGCGCCTCGGTGGCTTGTAGTAACCAAGCTGTTTTTCTAATGTACAAGTATTTTGCTAACGGTGAAAGGTACCTATCTAATAAAGGGGGTAGTAATAATAACAAAAAAAAAACAAAACATGAAAACGTTGTTTCAGAATGTTTATATTCAACGCATGGTTACCCTTTGATTCGTCCAAGTCGCCCTGGTTTGAACTCATTTTTCTGATACAAACAATTGCAATGCAAAATATTGGTTTAGCCCATTATTTTGCTGACGCATACTACATGGCAGTTGCCGGACTTTACGTTATAGCGATGAAAATAAATAGTAAAGTTTTAGATATTATTAATTCATTTCTATTTTCCATAACATTTATTTATAGGATACGAACTCGAGGATGTATTTTTTGTGACCCTGTTGCAAGAGGGAGTACCCAGAAACTTGGTAGTTGAGGCAGCAAAAACTTTTAATGGATTTGACTTAGAATCAAGTGACAATGAAGAAACGACTGATTTGGAAAATGAGTTATTATTTTGTTTTTTCTCATGATTTTCATTTCTTTGTCTATCTCATTTGTCTTCCGTTCGTATATTTATTTCATTTGTTTTCCATTCGTTTCTTTGCCTCATTTGTTTCCGTTTTTTTTTCTACATTCGTTTGCTTATCGTATTTAATTCGTTTACAGAACCGGCACCTCTGCAGAATTTACGATTAAGAACGATAATCTGGTTTACGAAGTAATGTATTCGAAAAAGTTTCGTATAAGTTTTGAAAACAATTTAAAAAAATTGATTCAAAAGCACCAGATGTTTCTGGAAATTGGTAATGAAATTAATGATTTCTTTTGGCCCATTATGCTCTATGCCTTGATCATGAATTTGTTTTATGTGGTAACAATACCATTGTTGATACTGATTGTAAGTACAGAGTTATAGATTTTTGTTATTTTTATGAGATCGTCTAAATTGTACCTAATAGTATTGGCCCAACAATCTTACGAAAATTTTGATAATGATCGAGAGAACCACGACCTCCCTGTGGCAGTTGTTGATAATAACTACTGTTGCCCAAAAAGTCTACGACGAGGTACAATAGACTAGATTCTAACATAAAAAACAATTGAATACGTAGGCATGTATTGTTTTAGAGTTTAAAATATAGAAATGCCGTTTACAATTGCCCATGGTACGTTGGCGATTTGAAGATTCGCAGAATGTTTCTAATAATTTTGACCAGATGTGCGAGACCAATACATATAACTGCGGGGAAATATCTGAATCTTACGTTGGAAACTTTTGTTTCTGTAAGAGCTTTTGTTTCTCTCCCTTTTGTTTCATGTTAAACAACATGCACTTTTCCAGATTGTCAATTTGGCCTTTTCGTTTTGCACCGTTCTCAACAACTTTATCAAAAGAGACCCTTAAGACATCCACGAGCACCCTATCAATTATCTAGATGTAATTTTCAATTTATTTATTTAGGAATATTTGATGAAAAGGAGGTCAAGGATGAACTAAAACCATCACGAATATGTTTAAATATTTAATTGTGCGTAAAAATGTAATTAAACCATAAATAAATTATGGAAAAACGAACGGTATTAATTACGACTGAATATTTAACTAGTTAAGGGTTTTTACCTCATCACGAAGCTTGCCATTAAAAAAAAGCACTTTCTCGTTTCAATTATCTACATGTATTAAAAAACAATTGACGATAGAAACGAACGGGAGGAGAAAGTGATATGATAAATCATTATTATTACTCTCAGTTTCTATTCAATATAAAATATGTGTATCAGGAAGGTGCTTTTTGTTAATGATAACACAGAAGGTAAAAAGGGCTTAAAACAAGTGAAAGCAGTGCCTATCATTGTTATGTGGTGGTACATGCAAAATGTGCTCAATAAGGAAACATCTATTGAGACTTGCACGGACGACGATTTGATGCATTTAATAGAGATAAAAAAAGACGATCGATTCCATTGTGGCATGATAACGAGAGATTGGAATTCATATGCATCCATGTAACAACAAAGAGTATTCCTACTTTCACTCAAACTGCTTCTACCTATGTTCCCATTAATTTTTATTTCATTATTTTTCAATGTACCTAATCTATCCCTTTCCATGTACTCTAATGGAAATATTTCTTTTGTCAGTAGTGGTATCACACAGTTCCTTGTTTCTTTACTAGGAACGGTCGGCGGTAGATTGTTTTTAGTTCTTTGGCGGCGGCAGGCCACTGGTAGCACCTAGTGGTGTTGGTACCTTCTGTAGATGGTTTTTAAGTCTCTTTGCGACAGAGATTTGCCAGTTGGTGAACACCGTTCCGAGTGGCGACTGTGGATTGTTTCGATCTCCAAGTCGAAAACACGCGCGAAATCGAGTGTAAGAATTTAGACGGCTGCTGGGTGACCGTTGAGTTGTGGTGTAGTTTTTCCAATTTCTAACCGCGGGGGTGAATTTATAAAAAGTGACAACGAATTTTTTTTCTTTTTGAATTTACAACAGATTACCTAGAGAAAAGAACGTAACAATGAAGGTGAATATGTTGTTTTGTTTTCCTTTGGGTAACAGTTGAATTATAAAACAAAATAATTTTTCTAATGTTTCAAAAGAAATAGTTAACTGACGCCTCTTTGATGAGTTAAAGAAACGTTCAAATGTTCGGAAAGAAATAGTTGACTGTTGTCTCTTTAAACAAATGTAATGTAACAAATGACAACTTAATGTTTGTCTTTTATCGTTCGATATTAGGCACTGGACAAAAAACATTAGGTAATAACGGCCTGGTGTAGTAGTAGTAGAAGATTTTAAATGTCAAAATTTGTGAAATTTCAGTAGTTCTTTGAATTCCGTAAATGTAAATGTTGCTGGGCACTGCTGCAATTACATAAATGCAGTACCGGACTAAATTGGAAATTTATGATAATTAAATGTAAAAAGACGGAAATTGGAACTGAAGTTGTTAAAAATATTTTATAATCTGTCACATATGCTCAGCTCCAAGTGTAATCATCTTTTCTTTCACTTTCAAGCAAACTTTCTCGGTGAAAAGTGAATTTTATATATTTTCATTTAAATTTAACGCGTTCAGCAGCTTATTTGTTTAATTGAATAAAAATTGGATTCAATTAGATACCGTTGACTAAGATGCAATTTTTTTGTCACACATTTGTTTATGCGACAATTAAACCATAAAATATTACCTATAATTTGCAAAAAGTTCAGAGTTTGTAGAAAATTTTCTGGTGTTCAAAGGTGTGACAAATATGTCACTCAAAAAACAAGTCACCTAAAACACGACAAGTTTTGAAGCTGAGCGTTTGTGAGGTTCTTATGCAATTTTGGTGTTATTTACGAAAAGCGAATATAGGTATAGTGTAACAAGTAATTATGTTAGACAGGCCATTATTTATTAATGTTTTATGTTGGCGATAGGTCGAAGAATAGATAATTATTTTATTTCAAAAATTACAACAACTGAACTTATATCTCGTACTTTTGAAAATGAGAAACTAATTTTACGGACTTCCAGGTGGTAATTATGATATTTATGATAATTAAAATGGATATTTTTCTATTTTACGTACCCATAATGAATGTTGGTTAAGCATAATGCTTATGTATATATACAATTATTAATCTCAGATTAAATAGTAATTCTTTACTAAACCTTCACTATTGCCATTTAAATAAAAAGAAAACAAAACAAAATCTCGAAAACATCGGAAAGAAATTTTGTTATTGTTTGTGTCAGTTTTTCCTTTCTATTTTTTGTTTTGAGACGGCGATCAATTCAAACCATTAAAAAATAGAACGACGAAAGTTGCAATTGTCATTGAAATGAATGTACCTAGATAAGTACCTATTTACATGTGTACGTATTCAATGTGTGTTTTGTGTGCGTAGCACAGTCACTTACTTCATACCAATAAAAAAAAGAAAAAGAGAAAGATGAAGGTATTTGCAAACGGTTTTACAATTTTTATATATAAAAAAAAATACAGCATTAATATTACATTTAAAGACCTATATTCCAAGTCCAAAAAAGCCCTTAACCAATAAAAATTACAGAATAAAAGCAATACTACTCTAAAAACATTAGGTTTGAATTGGGACTCCGAAAAAGACCAAATAATTTATTCTGTCAAACCGATCATTCCTTCACATAGTGTTACGAATCATTTTTTCCCAAGTAACTAAGATTTTTGATCCTCTTGACTGATAAACCTTGCAATAGTTCCGGTTAAGCCAAGTAAATTGCTATCTTTTATATGTATATTCAGATATCTCATCATTAATTTTATTTATTGGTAATCTATCGAAAGGTAACTATGATAATAAATCATCAATTAAACATCAAATAACCACCTGGCTTACATAATGTTTAAGTTGTAGTACAGAACAAAATAGAACACTTACAGGGCCGCAAACACTAACATCTTTACGATAACACAAAATTTACGTCAGGAAGAACAATTGCCAAAAGAAAACAAAATCCTTCCGATTTAAACAATCGCACTGTTCGTTCATTTGTCAGATTACCGTCAATTTAACTGTTACTTTTTGGAATTTATTCATAAACGGAAAAATTTACCAATTGGACAATTGTGAACGTATAAGTACCAACGTTAATGAAAAATTCTAGGTAGACTGCCTATTTAGGATCAGTTACGTTATATGTTACATGCCTACGTACCTAGTTAAGTTCTTTCTAATATCTCGAGGCTAATGTTGCTGTTAAAAAATGATCTACATTGTTTATTATGTAACTCGACAAAAATAATTTCTTTCATGAGCGGAAAATTTTTGAAGAAAAAATTTAAAGTGCCGAGGCACAAACTGTAGATACCTATACGTTAAAAAGGAAATAAAGCCCAAACTATTGTTTATTCATTAGATAGGCATTGTGTTTGTTGTGTAATAAGTTGACTTGAGAGTGAAACTAGCTTTTGATAAAAATCTTTTCGAGAAGATCTTATTGTTCGAGTTTTTCTATTCGCGTACCTATTCGGATAAACAGAAGAACATCTCGCGGCGAATCGTTTCACAGGTGGTTGGTTGGCTTCTTCAGTTTGTTCGGCAACGACCCTGACCACTTTGATCGGTCATTATGTGGGTTTATTAATTTAAAGTCGACGTATTTATTATAAAAGTGGCCCGAATGCGTTTAGACGAGGACGGAAACATTTGAGGTCAACAAATCCACCAAAGTAATTATTTATTATATAGTGCAATCTGTGCAAATGAGACAAAAAAATAATAAATCAACCAATTAAATTATCATTTAGTGAGAGTTACGCTGGTGGCTAGTCAAATAAATAATTGTAATGCTCCTATCTTAAACAAGTGAATAGATACTTATAGAGACGATTAACCCCAATTGGAAATATATTTATCGGACTTCAAAAGTCTGTTAGGTAACCACAGTAATTCTGTTGTTTCTCATCATTTGTTTTGTTGTTATTTAATACACTTATGATTCGATGGCGATGCTATTTTGTCGAAAATTTTGCCAATTGTCGTTTCAACTGTTTCAATAGTGTTATTTTTATGTTATACGTGAAAATAAAGAAACAAAATAAACTAGCTGACGAAGCAGGAGAAAGTGCAACGTTTCCAGTTAGTCGTAGATAGAGAAATTGATCAGTTATTAGTATTTATTAAATCAGTAACCGGAATAAACTGCCCTGATTGATATTATATGAAGTTGTTAGGTATTATTTATTAGAAAACTTAACGATTAACAGATATCTACTTTGTTTAATAACGTTACTTAACATTTGTGTGTGTGACCACCTATGCGAGCGCAATTTTTTAATGTTTAAGAATTTTGAACAGCTAAAAAGCTATTAGGTATTCAAACTAATTTGTTGTTTACGACGAAATTTATTCAAAAGAATCGTCTTCTTTATGATTAGAAAAGGCGGTATTTTTGACAAAGTACGTACGATAAGCAACAAAAGAAGAGCAGCGAAACGTAAAACTTTAAATGCTTTATATTGTACTAAAACTGAATGCCTAATAAAAGAACCTAAAGAATACAATTCAAATTAGATTCCTTTCAATTAAATATAACTAACAGCAACCGAATGCTACTTTTTATCATCTAGTAACATCGAAAACACTTTTCACCAGCAACTGTTTTAGATATGCATATGTGTGTGTACATATGTATGTATTATAGGTACCTATGATCCTTGAAAATATAAATTTCCTTTCTACCACACGTCGTTGTAAGACAATGCATTTTTGAGTAACATTAACAAATAAAATATCTTGTACTTAACTAGGTACCTGCTTACGTATGTAGATATACCCAACAGTAACTAACTAACTGTGAGTAAACGGTTTCGACTTCCAAATAAATCAATCATTACGTAACCTAATTAATCTACAACGTCAATTAAAAAAAGGACATTTTTAATAACAAATGAACACCTAATACTTATGTAGGTACTACTCTAACTCTAAAAACAATATCGACTCGACTTTAAGCTGTTTCGACAAAAGAATAAGAAAAGTAACAAAAATTTTAAACAAGCGGCGATCGAAGTTTAAGATCAAGGCGTTACTCGTGTGTTTGAAAAATGAAACAAACGAACAACACAGGTACCAAGCGACCTAAATGAGCATCTAGCTACATAATTAATTTCGCAACTGTGAAACTTCTTCCTGAATCTATTTATTAAATTATTATTTATTGATTTATAAGGTGAAGGCTTTTCCTGCTATTATCATTAAATTTGTCACGAAAAAGGGGGCTAATGTCAAACTCGTGACTTTGATGGCTCAGTTTTAGTATTTAATGTTGTATATAGTTCAAGTGTTAAAAAATGTTACGTACGGCACTCTTCAATGACGAAGAGTGAAGAACATCTTAATAAAAGAACTTTCGATGTGTAATAACATCAAGTACATCAACAGCCGATTGAAATCGTGATCGTGAAGACCATTGTTAAAGAATTTGCGAAAAGAATGAAGTAATACCTAATGATTCGGTTAAAAATGATAATTAATGTCTAGGCATTTATATCGATTTTGCCGGAGGCCGCTTCAAGTCCTCGTCTTAATGTTAGGAAACTTCTGAAGAGTCACGTCAAAGTGATGGGCAACGGGTCAAACTTTCAGTAGGCAACAAAGAATAAGTGGCTTAGAAAAAGATAATTTACTACTTTTGGTACCAAATTATGTAACAAAACACAACTAACAATTGATATTTAAAAAAATTAACGAATCGGCAGACAGTTACCATTTGTTTCAAACTCAAGTACCTACAGAAAGCTCAACAGCTTTTGTTTCCATTATTACTACCGGCTATTCGTTCTTTTGTTTTTTAACAACGAAGCTCCAATGTTTTAACTTTTAATCGTTAATAAATAATTGAACACCTAGGTATTTCACTTAACAAATTTTTTTTCATTGTAACCAATTCAAGAGGGACTTTCAATAAGTTTAAATAAAACCAGTTGGTAATAAATTTATGCCAATAATTTTGGATACTACCATGGTCGTTCTAATCAAACCCGCACCTAATTT